GATCCCCAAAGGTGACTCCTCATCCAGCCGGGCTGGATAAGAGGCATAAGGAAAAAGGACTTCATTCTGATGATGCTCGGAAACCATGGGAACTGTTTCCATGCTGGAGAGGACCGGGTGATAGTTATCTGTATGCCATGCCCCATCCCCAACAGTCAGCACAGCACTGTGAGTCCTGTAGTCCTGTCTGTGTGAGCACCCATGCAGATTCAGCAGAGGAAGTCTCAAGAAATCAGAATAATTGAGCCACCAGCCACTGTGGCCCAAGTTGGGAAATCAGGTCTAGGACCAACCCCCAAGTCAGACACAGGAGGGTTCTTTATCCAGAAGCTGAGCCCCCTCGCTGATTACTGGTGAGAATGCAAAATACATTATTTTGTCACTGTGATTCATCAATACCACAAAAACAGACCTACCAAGTGACCCAGCGATTTCACACTTGGGTGCATACCCAAGAGAATTGAAAACAGGTGTTCAAACAGTAACTCACAGAGGTACAGTCACAGCAGCACTAACCATAATATCCAAAACACATAAACAATCCAGACATCTATTAACAAGTGAAAAAATGCTACAGTGGAATATTATTCAATCCCCAAAGGATGAAATGCTAAAACACTTCACCTCTCACCTCTCCTCCTTAACCCTGCCACCTGGCATGTTCCTTTCCTTGCTACAAAACCTGGGCCTTGGGATAGTCAGCCCCTTGCCTAAGTTCCCAGGACCTAAATGTGGCAGCCTGCAGACACTGCACAGTGTTCCTGCCAGTGAGTCCCTCTGCAGGAGATCAGGATGGAGAAAGAGACATCAAGATTAATGTGTAAAAGAATCCATAAAGGCCTTAAGCTCTTCCCAACCAAAGCTGCATGTATCAAAACAGAGTACGCATGAGAAAACCTCTGGGCTCTCTGAACAGGGGGAGAGATGGATGCTATGTACATGTAAGTAACCTAGAAAGGATCAGGATTCTCACAACTGGAGGGTTCTGAGCCTCAGTCGCGTTCCAGCTCTGTAGTTCACTCCCACTCTCGGGGAACCTTTCTCTTCAGTGGATATGAACAGTTCTACCATTATCAACATGCTGTGGACTACACCTCTTGTACACTATAAAGATTTATCACTCAAATTGGTTTAATAAAACACTGATTGGCCAGTAGCCAGGTGTAGTGGATACCTGTTCTATATATTTATGGGGCCTGGGCCTCTGCATGAGTATTTTATAAGTGGCTGCAGAGACCTCAGGTGGGAGAGACTCATCTAGACCTCGAGGCTGGGCGAGACCAAAGAAACTTACCTCTATAGCCAGGCAGGAAGTATAGGTGGGGCAACGAAACTAAGAATGCTGGGAAGAGGAAGGGCAGAGTCAGAGGTCACCAGTCAGAAACAGAGGAAGCAAGATGAGAATGCCATGCTGAGAAAAGGTACCAAGCCACGTGGCTAAACATAGAAAAGAACTGTTGGTTAATATAAGTGTAAGAGCTGGGCGGTGGTGGCGCACGCCTTTAATCCCAGCACTCAGGAGGCAGAGCCAGGTGGATCTCTGTGAGTTCGAGTCCAGCCTGGGCTACCAAGTGAGTCCCAGGAAAGGCACAAAGCTACACAGAGAAACCCTGTCTCAAAAAACCAAAAAAAAAAAAAAAAAAAAAAAAAAAAAAAAAAAAAAAATATATATATATATATATATATATATATATAAGTGTAAGAACTAGTTAGTAATAAGCCTGAGCTACCAGCTGAGCATTTATAATTAATATAAGCCTCTGTGATTATCTGGAAGCAGGCTGGGGTGGGACAGAGAAAAGCCTTCGATTACATCCACGTGTCTAATTCTGTGATCTGGGACACCAGAACCCGGATGTCTGGGCAGGTGTACTCTGGCCTCTGAGCTGCGACTCACACTGGCTGCCCCTTGACACTTTGTCTCAGAACCAAAGCTCAGAATCCCTGGCTGAGACCTCAGTGCCAGCCTGCATCTCCATGGTCTGTAGCTGCATGAGCCGAGGGGTGATACCAGAGACACTGTATGCCTTATTTTTGCAGGTCTGTCCAGAGGGCCCAGTGCCCACAGGCAGGAGTGATGAGAAGACAGGATTGAACTCAGGGTCGTAAAGCCAGGCCTAAAGGCTTGGGGGTTGAGCCTTTTCTGTAGTCCTCACCTGGTCCTGCCCTTCCAAAAAACCTCAAGAACCCAGTGACCCTCAGGTAGAGCCATGTGGGATCGGTGTGTGTAATTGTAACAGGTAGAATTTTGTTTCCCCAAATGATACACACTTTCTTCAGCCCCAGGACTGTAACGGTTACCCTTTTAGGAAATAGGGCTTTGCAAATGCAATCATTCCAGACAAGCCATGTGGGATAAGAACAATCCTGAACCCAGTGACTGGTATGCTTTAAGGAGAGAGGCAGAGAGACACAGAGGGATAAGGACAGAGGCAGATAGTGAGTGACCCAGCCATAGACCAAGGAGTGTGGACAACCGTTCAAAGCCAGGGAGGCAGGGAAGAGTCCTTCCCTAGAGTTTCCATCACGCGCATGGCTGTTTTGGTTTTGAGCTAGTAGGCACAGTGCCTTAAAAGGCCCCAATTTTGTTTTTTTTGTTTGTTTGTTTGTTTTTGTTTTTTTTTTTTTTTTCGAGACAGGGTTTCTCTGTGTAGCTTTGCGCCTTTCCTGGAACTCACTTGGTAGCCCAGGTTGGCCTCGAACTCACAGAGATCCGCCTGGCTCTGCCTCCCAAGTGCTGGGATTAAAGGCGTGCGCCACCACCGCCCGGCAAGTTTTTTTGTTTTTGTTTTTGTTTTTTTTTTTTCAAGGCCCCAATTTTGTAGCACTTCAGATTTCTGGTTCTCTATTTGATGCTCAACCAGTAAAATCTGTGCCATCATTTCAAAAAAAGTTTTTGTTTTTTTTTTGGTTTTTCGAGACAGGGTTTCTCTGTGTAGCTTTGCGCCTTTCCTGGAACTCACTTGGTAGCCCAGGCTGGCCTCGAACTCACAGAGATCCGCCTGGCTCTGCCTCCCGAGTGCTGGGATTAAAGGCGTGCGCCACCAACGCCCGGCCAAAAAAAGTTTTTAATTGAAAGATTCCTTTGAGCTGGAGAGATGGCTCAGTGGTTAAGAGCACTGGCTGTTCCTCCAGTGGTCCTGAGTTCAATTGCCAGCAACCACACGGAGGCTCACAATGTCTATAACTGTAGTTCCATGGGGTCTGATGCCCTCTTCTGGTGTACAGATATGCATGCAAACAAAACATACATACATATGTACATACATACATACACCTTTTTTTAAAAAAAATGGAAGATTTCTTATCCAAGCATTTTGCATAAGGAACACTCAACCTGTTTTTGTTATGATAAGCCCTAGGAGGTTAATACAGGACAGGAAAAGGTGTGTGTGTGGGGAGAGAGAGACAGAGACAGAGAGAGACAGAGAGACAGAGTCAGAGAGACAGAGAGACAGAGAGAGACAGAGAAAGAGACAGAGAGACAGAGACAGAGAGACAGAGACAGAGAGACAGAGACAGAAAGAGACAGAGACAGAGAGACAGAAAGAGACAGAGAGAAAGAAATAATTCCCTAAAGAAGAGGGGGAACTTGGGGAGATGACTCAGTACTTAAATGCAGTGATGTTCAGTCCTAAGACTGGAGTTCAGATCCCAGCACCCACATAATAAGCTGAGAAACACACCCATGTTCTGTAACCCCAGCTCTGAGCAGGGCAGAGACAGAAGGTGAGCTGGGGCTTACTGGATTCTAGCCTGGATGAGCAAACAGGAGCCCCAGGTTCAGGAAGAGACCCTGCCTCAAAGGAATAGATGGAGAGGGATAGAGGAAGACATCTTTACACCCTCTTCTGGCCTCAGGTGAGTATACTCACTCACACACACACACACACTCACACACACACAGAAAGAGGGGGATATTGAAATTCTGGCATGCACTACGTCATAGATGAACCAGGAAGGCATTACGCCAAGTGAAATAAGCCAGAGTAGTCCCATTTATAAAGACAGACGTAGCGTGGAAGCTGCCGGAGGCTTCTGGGTGAGAAGACTAGGGGCTGTTAACTGTCACAGTTTTAGACGTGCAAGGTGAAAAAAACTCTGGACACCGGCCTCCCAACAGTGTGAACAAATTTAGCGCTGAGATCTGAACACTCTAAACATGTTAAGACAGGGCTGGGGAGTGACTCAGTGTTATGGTGCCTGCCATTCAAGCACGAGAACCTGAGTGGATCCCCAGGGCCTCGGTCAAAAGGCAAGAGCGATGGAGCACACCCAATCACATCAAAGTCAGGGGATCGCAGGGGCTCGATGTCTAGCCAGCCTGTCTGATTCAAATGAGACCTTGTCTCCAAAAAACAAGGGGGACAGAATCCTCAGGAGAGGTCCCTGGGGTTGTCCTCTGGCTTCCAAACACACACAGTCACGTGTGCACACACATGAATACATATAAGACGCTGGGCACGGTGACCCAGATCTGTAAATCCAGCATCGGGGAGACAGAGGCAGCAGGATTGTGATTTTGAGGCCAAGATGAACAACACACTGAGTCTATCTCATAAAAACCAGGGTAGGATGCAACTCAGTGGTAAAGTTCTTCTCTGGCATGTGAAAGGCCCCTGGGTTCAATTCCCAGCACTAACCAAAAATAAATAAATAAATAGATAGATAGATAGATAGATAGATAGATAGATAGATAGATAGATAGATAGATAAATAAATAAATAAATAAATAAATAAATAAATAAATAAATAAATAAATAAATAAATAAATTCAGGCTGGGAGTTCGAGGCCAGCCTGGTCTACAGAGCAAGATCCAGGACAGGCACCAAAACTACACAGAGAAAAACCAAAGAAAACAAAAAAAACTCAAAAACTTCATACTTGTATTTTCGGCATTTCACCAGCTTTTCTTTTTGAACCCAAGTCTATGTTCTCTGCACCTGATATGATGTGTGACCTCATTTCCGGCCTGCCTCCTCTCCCTCCCTCCCTCAACTGCAGTCACGCTTGCCTTCTGAGTAACAACACATGTGTTTCCACTGTCCTCATGACCTGCACGCCCACCCACGAAAGTCTCTGCCCAGGGAGTGCCCCCTAACTTCTGAATTGCAACCTTCTCCATGCCCTCTCCTCTCTGTGACGTGATCCTGTGTGTCCTCTCTGTGACATGATCCTGTGTTCTCATTCTCACTCTCTCCCTTACAGGTAGAACTCATCTGCTTTGTTCGTCACAGAACTCCTGGTACACAGTAGTTGCACACTAAACGTGGTGTGTGCAGAATGACCTGTAGAAAGCATGAATGGGAGCCCAGGATGCTGCCTCATACGCAAAGACAAGGGCAGAGGTCCCTAGAAGCCCCAGACTACCTTCTTATTGCTCAATAAATCCAACTTCTACCCTAGAAAACAGGGTGCCTTCAGACACCCCCAAAAACTGGCACGGTCCATGTTAAGTCCAGTGAGGTGTTAGGGAAGATGACGAAGCACTCTGTGGAGTGAACTTTAGTGTCAGCATGATTTCAAAAGTCAAACACAAGCTGTTTATTGTTTCTTCCAACCACAGATGAAGATTCTTCTGGCCTTGGTCGGAACACCCAAGTGACCAATGCCACCACGTGCTTGCTCTGTGACCTTGGGGAAGACACATTCCTCTCTGGGCCTTGTTTTTTGTTGTTTTCTTTTTCTTTCTGGTAAAAGTACAAGCTGGTGTGCCATGGGTCCCCTCCTACTCGAACATTCTGTCAGCTTTGAAAGTTGTAGTCCATTCTCTCCTCAAATTTTTTGAGGATTGAAATTCAATTCACACTGACAATTGATGCTTTGTTTTTCCTCTCTTCTGTCAGCTGTCAGCACAGCATCAGGACCAATGCCACCCATCCCAGAGGAAGACCACAGTGATGGGCATCTTCCAGAACTGAGCATCCTGGGGGAAACATGCAAGAACAGAGAAATCTCGTCCTTGGAAAAAGACATTGACCCCAGAGAAGTCGTCATCACTTTATTCACCCTGACAGTAGACTCTAGGATGTCGTCACCCTCCTCGCACACTTGGGTGGCATTAGAATCCTGGAGTTCTGTTCTAACAGTAAAAATGGAGTGACTTTCACCCTTAGGGAGAGCACACAGGGGCTGAATATGCCAGGAGAGCATGACGGTGCCAGCTGGCTGCTGACGCAGAGCCACTGAGGTGCAACAGCACCACAGCCCCCCTCCCCCATCCCCAGCACCACAGGCCTCCCCACTCCCTGCCCCCAGCACCACAGGCCTCCCCCCTCCCTGCCCCCAGCACCACAGGCCTCCCCCCTCCCGCCCCCAGCACCACAGGCCTCCCTCCCCAGCACCACAGGCTTCCCCCTCCCCCCTCCCCCCAGCACCACAGCCCTGGAGGCTAAGGAGGGAGTGAGAAGACAGCCATCACTTCTCAATGCTTGGCTGAAGGAAATTTACCAAGTGGAACCAGGGGACTCAAAGGAGTTCATGTGCTTTTTCCAAAGACAGCCTGAAGGCACCTAAACCAAAAATAGACATGGTGCGGGGGGAGGGGGTGTTGGGTAATTTGTGAAGAGAAAACTGTGGCTCACTTCAACTCAACCCTCACACCCCCACCTGTACACTCTGTTCCTATCTTCTTGCGAGCTTGAGCATGCCTGTTGGGGTGTAAGGTGAGCCCTCAAAAAGCTAATCTCCACGGGCAATCAAGCAGAGAAGCAGAGCCAACCAGCTTGCCAATGGAAGAAAGATGATTTCTTCATGCTCTGGGATCTGAGTTCCCTCCTGTGATACCTAGCCAGAGAAACTACAAGCAAAAATGGAAAGGACTGCCTTCACCCAAAATTTCAAAATCTGCAACTCCCGTCCCGGTCCCCTCCCTTCCCCGCTGGTGCACAGAGGACTCCGAGACACCAGTTCTCTGAGAACTCCAGGGGATGTGGAATCCGTGTAAACCTCTGAGAACTCAGTGTGCACCCTAGGGGTGAGCGCTGGTCACCTGAGACAGTGACCATGACCAACAGGAGACAGTCCCCACTGGAGGCCAGACTTGGTAATCCCACAGAGCTCTGCCGATTGCTGAAGGACAGCAGGCCAAGAGAGGAAGGACCAGTGGCCAGGGGACAGTGGACATGTCACAACCATGAACCTGAGTGTTGGGGTCCCTGGATATGCCCAGAAACAACTGGAGTTGAAGATATTCAAAGACTGCAGATGTGCAAGAAGACACGACAGGGTGACTAAGAACCAGCTGCGAGAGAACGGACGCACTCCCGAGATTCCAGGCGCGTGAATACTATGCACAGACAAAACCAACCCTGCCTGCTGTATTCAAAGAAACAGTCAAGGAACTCAAACCATGGAAAGTTCCGCACAGTTCATAGTAAGAACCCCCAAATCTTTCAGGTGGGAGAAGTGTCATAACTAAAATGACAGCCCGAACGGATGGTTTTTACTACACCTTGAGCACAGCTGAACAGAGAAACTGCTGAAGTTTAAGCAGATAAAAACGAAGCTTACAGGAGGAGGGGGGGGGGCGGGCCGGGAAGGGGGCAGGTGAAGCAGAAGCTGGAGACATAGAGGGCAGCAGAATACACAGGGAGCACTTAGTGAACATGGAGTATCAGGAGAGAGAGAGGTACAGAAGACAGGGTGATGTGCAAGGTTGGGAAGAAGGAAGGAAAACCCCACCGCAACTTGAGTAAAATGAGAGAGAGAGAGAGAGAGAGAGAGAGAGAGAGAGAGAGAGGGAGGGAGGGAGGGAGGGAGGGAGGGAGGGAGGGAGGGAGAGAGAAGAAGAAGAAGAAGAAGAAGAAGAAGAAGAAGAAGAAGAAGAAGAAGAAGAAGAAGAAGAAGAAGAAGAAGAAGAAGAAGAAGATTTTCTTTGAAGAAGCTCTCTGACTTCTGAAAGCCATTCAAAAGTAAATGGCACTTTACATTTGAAAAACAAACAAACAAAACAAAACCAGCCCCTCTGTCCGCGAAAACTATCCTTCCAGGGTGAACGAAGGTGGGAACTGGGAAGACAGTTCATTCAGAACTGTGCTTGGCTCAGTGACCTGGGTGACCCCAGAGCCCTGGTTTTTGTTTGTTGTTGTTGTTTAAAAGAAAGGAGGAAAAGAAAAGAAAAGCCAGGTGTGGTGGCAGGCTCTTGGAATCCCAGCACAGGGCATGTAGGGACAGGCAGTTCCCTGGGTTCACTGACCAGTGAGAGACACTGTCTCAATAAATACAAATGAAGTTTAAAAGGTAGAAGATGCCTAAAAATGACACCTGAGGTTACATCAGGCCCCCCCACACACACACACATGCACACAATGAAGGGGAAATGCAGACACGTAGAACAAGAAAACCCCACCAAACCACAAAAGCGTTCTCCACCAGCAGATGAGAGAAGGGAAGGGAATAGGTCATCACGTGTGTGGAAGATCCGAAGTACAAAAGAGAAACGTGAGCTGAAGCGACATTTGATATCGTTGGGTGTTAAGGTGACTGGGCTGTGTGCCATCAGAATAGAAGCATGTATGGCACCACCCAGGCCTAAGCCCTGACGTCACAGGAGAAATGGGCTTCGGGGGCGCTGAACAAACCTCCAAGAGTCGAGAGAACCACCTGCCCCTGGACACTGAGAAGCCCACATGGCCACTGACCAGAAAGGGCATGCCATGTCCAGGGAGACTCAGTAAAGTGATCCAGTTTGTAGCTATGAGCCAGGGTGGACACTCGGGGAACAATCCCTGTTGTGGGTGCTGGTTCACGTTGCCAGGGTGAGCCCAGGTGAGAACACTCCAGGGTCTGTTTGTTTACCACGGCTTAATAATCACCCAGTCTCCATAGCAACCGATGAAGACATGGCTCGGGAAGACAGTCCCGTCCTGTGCTATAAGTAGAACATGTGGTGGACGTGGGGCAGGGTAGCGGTGGTGGCCTGGTGTGCAGTGGAGGTGTATTAGAGACAGCCCAGCTGCCTAGGTTGGGCAGGAAGTCTGGGGCAAGGAATCAAGGATTACTGAGACACTCTGGTTTCTTACCTGCCGGGGGTGGGGGGGATGGGAGGGTAAGGGTGGGGGGATGGAAGGGTAGGGGTGGGGAGGGTGGCAGAAAAGAGCATTTTGAAACAAAATGGGACAAGAGTGAGGAGAATGTCAACTTAAAATCCCAAGGTTCAATGCTTCAGTTGGCCATGCCTGTAAGAACCCCAAGTGACTGATCTAGATAAAAATACTGGAATTATTGGCACATTATGATGCTATTTCAAGCCACAGATATGGATAGGATTGTGTTACAAGAACATGTGTAGATACTTCTTAAATATGCATAATTAGCCGGGCGGTGGTGGCTCACGCCTTTAATCCCAGCACTCGGGAGGCAGAGACAGGCGGATCTCTGTGAGTTCGAGGCCAGCCTGGACTACCAAGTGAGTTCCAGGAAAGGCGCAAAGCTACACAGAGAAACCCTGTCTCGAAAAACCAAAAAAATATGCATAATTAAAGAGAAGAAAATAAAAGTCATGTGTAATCTATTAAGTTAGCACACAACAGAGGGTGTAGGATGGACCTGGAATGGACTCTGTTTCAGACAAACATGTGGATCTCAATGTTATTAACTGGGTACAGACTATAAGACTAGGGTGGGGACCCTAAGAGGGAACAAGCGATGCTGAGAAAACTCGGGGGGCGGGGGGGTGCATCCCATGAGATGTGGAAATGGGATACTGGGGGTGGGAGAGCTCAGGGAAGGAAGAGGGGTGGGGAAGAAAAAAGAGAGAAAAAAATAACTGTTGTTTGAAAATGCCATAATTAAGCCTAACTCTTTGCAAGCTAACAAAACTATTTTTAATAAAAAGACATGTACAGGCCTTGTAAAATTAATTATCTATGTGTAAGTAAGTGTATCCCATGGCCGGAGGGTAGTGAAGTAACAAAAGGATGGTCCTACCTGGGATCCCCTTGGTTCTCTTGGCCCTCTGTTCTTCCCCTTGCTGTTCAAGGTAGCAGCCAGGCCACTAGACACCCAGTGTCCCAGTGGGGGAGGTGGGCAGTGCATGGGAACGGTCTCTCCTGGCGTTTCAGTATCTAAGGGACAAAGAAAGCATCAAGAGTCTTCTGAGATGACAGATTTGAAAGGATACCAGGTCTTCCTAGACTGAGAGGAAGCAGCGGGCCCCAGGGATGCAGGGCCCTGCACCCCACCCCAGGCCAGCTATGGAGCAGACATCCTTGCACAGTCCAACAGTTGGGGCTCCACAGGTTTTTGCCTGGGGTTATAATTTGTCTCTAAAATGTCTTCCACAGGGTCATGCTTTTAACAGTCATCCCTAGCTTGTGGTACTATTTTTGGAGTCTCTGGAGCGAGCCTTTAGGAAGTGGGCCCTGGCTGGTGGGAGTGGACCCTGTAGGGCGGGCTTTTAAAAGTTTACAGAGTTCTCTGTATCCTAATCGGCCATGGCCTGAACACTTCTCTGCCATAGACTCTCCTCCTTTGTTCCTGTTGGGTACCTGGTCACAAGCAGACACTCAGGTAAACACCTGAGGAGGCCCAGCCCTCAGAAGAGGTGAGATGGCAGCAGGTGAAGCAGCCTTGGCTTCCTCTGGGGGTCAGGAGCAGTGCCAGGCTCTTGCGGACCAAGTATAGAGTCAGGAACACAGGAGCTGAGCTGTCACTCAAGCTCTTCCAACAGAGGACTCATTTTTGGTGACTTGTGTGGACCGACACCAGCGGACATCAGGGGGACAGGCCTTGGCATTTCCCAGTCCCCTGGAATGTGTATCTGTGCCTAGGGAAAACCTGAGACCCAGAAGATGACATGGAAAAACGGAGGCTCAACGGAGGAGTCAAATTCATCGAGAGAATAAACCAAGCTGTGTTCTCTGTGATCTACACATGGAGAAGTTCCTAGAAAAAAATAAATTTTTCAGGGATGATGGAGATTCTGCATGGAAGAGCAGGAGCAGGCCAAAGTGAAAACATACCATCTGTAAGTGTTCATAATACACTGTCCTTAAAGGGTAAAGTACAGAGGAAGAGAACCAGGGATCAAAAGAGGTAGGACTGGTCACGTGTCTTCTCAAACAGTATTACGGACCTGCTGAAGATAGAGCTCACACAAAAGAATACTGATGCTTGCCACTGTCAGCAGGCCTGAGGTCCGCAGCACACTAAGTCTCTCAGAGGGAGAGTTCAGCATACCACATCCCCAGGATGGATCTCCAGGCTCCTGTCTCTCTGAGGGGTACCATTTTCCCGCTGGGAGATCCTCCTCCACCTACATGGCGCTCAGAGTGAGGTCATGAGATGAGATGGTCTTTTCCGGTCCTGCCCATCCAGCTCTTCCTGTGCCTTCTATCTTGCCTCAGTCCTGTCACGTCTCAGCCCATCACGTCCCAGTCAGTCACGCTTTGAGGTCTCTGACACAGGAGGGTCAGGCTCCAAGCCTCACCAGCCATGGCTGTTCCATTATCTGCATGTCTATCAGGGCAGAGACCATAGCAGTGAGATGTCAACCCCCTCTCCCACCCCCACTCCAGACTCAGTGATAGCTACTGACTTCCACTCTGTGTATTTTCATAAATGTTAACTCTTCAGAACTCTTTGGTCCTTTAAGACGGGCATCGCTAACTCCCCTTCACAGGTAAGAGTTGCAGGAAGAACAATGGCCTCCGGAGATCTCCACACCTTGATCCCTACAGCCTGCGACCATCACCTTCTCGACCACGTCTCTTGCAGGTGGGGTGAAGCCGAAGATCTTGAGACAGAAATATTCTAGAAGATCGTGTGGGATCGAAACACAGCCACATGCTTTTTATAAGGAGGCGGCAAGCCAGGCATGGTAATCCAAGGCTATAATCCGAGGTACTCGGGAGACTGAAGCAGCAGGATTTCTTGGACCCAGGAGCTTGGAGACCAGTCTGGGGAAAGCGGCTGGATCACATATCAAAAATTAAATAAAACCCAGAAAGAGATTTTACAGGAAAGACGGCAATGGGTCAAGATGCCGTACCATTGGCCGGGAGCACAGAAGGAAAGACCGACCCTCCACTACGGAATGTAGCATTGAGACTGGAGAGATGGGTCTGAGGTTGAGGGCTTGCTGCTGCTTCAGAGGACCTGAGGTCAGTGCCCAGTCCCCATGTCGGGTGGCTCACAAACACCCATAACCGCAGCTCCAGGAGCTCTGACACCCTCTTCTGGCTTCTCCAGGCACTCACGTACACATGTGTACATACACATCCATATGCAAATAATAGTAATTTTAATTATTAAAAAATACAGCATCAGATGGAAGGCAAGGAAACGTTCTCCCAGGAGCCCTCAGAGATGCTGTAAGTCAGGCAATATTTGATTTTTGAATCAATAAAATTGATTTGAACTTATGACCTCCAGAATGAAAAACAAAAAAAGATAGCTGTGTGCTGTGTTAAGTCAACAAGTTCATGGGAGTACATTACAACAGCACATTAAACTAATAAAATGAGTAAACAGAAACGTTCCTGGCTTGCTGCAAGTCACCCAGCAGGTAAAGCACACGCCCTCCATCTGATCCGAAGCCTCATTCTTTCTTGTACAGATGATGCCGATTCTAAGTCTCCAGCAATGTGGAGTTTCCATAGGGAAACAAACAGGTAAGCGTGCGTGTGTGTGTGTGTGTGTGTGTGTGTGTGTGTGTGTGTGTGTGTGTGTGTGTGAAGTACACTGCTGTGGGATGATCTGTATGGCAAATGTGCTGCTAATTAGTCAATAAATAAAACACTGATTGGCCATTGGCTAGGCAGGAAGTATAGGCGGGACAAGGAGGAGAATAAAGCTGGGAAGTGGAAGGCTGAGTCAGAGAGACACTGCCAGCCGCCATGATGACAAACAGCACGTGAAGATGCCGGTAAGCCACGAGCCATGTGGCAAGGTATAGATTTATGGAAATGGGTTAATTCAAGATAGAAGAAGTAGATAGCAAGAAGCCTGCCACGGCCATACAGTTTGTAAGCAATATAAGTCTCTGTGTTTACTTGGTTGGGTCTGAGGGGCTGTGGGACTGGCAGGTGAGAGATTTGTCCTGACTGTGGGCCAGGCAGGAAAATTCTAGCTACAGTACACCCATCCCCCCATCTCCCATAAAACTAGGAAACACCGGGCCAGAAGCACTAAAGGTGCTTCTCGACTTAAATGTAACAGTTAACAGTGTGTTTCATCTCAACAAGGGCATGGTGAGATTAAACACTGTAAACTGAAAATGCATTCGATACCCTCAAGCTATAGAGCACCGGAGCTTAACACAGCCAGCCCTGGGAGCTGCTCTCCCTGAGGCTGCACATGAGACTTGTGCCACACTGTTGCCCTGCATGGACTGCAAAGGTCAGATTTAGACAGTTCCCTAGTGTCAAACACAGTGAGCTGAACCAGTGTAAGCAAGGGCCATTTGCAACTTTCTAAGGATGTCAGTGAGCTCGAATTCAGGGCATCGGCTTTCACTCTTCATTCTGCATCCAGTCGCGATCCTGCAGTATCGTTCTGTCCGTGTTCTGACTGGACCGAAGAGATGGAAAGAACACAAAGCCACTCTCCTTTGTCAGCCCGATTAATGACTGTGTCAGTAGACCGGCTACAACCAGGGCCTGCCCTGAAGGCCGAGTTCACTGGGAGCATTTCCTGAAAGCGAGGGATGGTGAGTGTGTCTCTCACGGAAGCTGGTCACTTTGATATCAGAGTCCATCCTTTGGGCCTTGCTCTCCCAGCACATATTAAATTTTCTCCTTCATTCTCAGGTTTGGAGGGAAAAAAAAAAAAGAAGTAAAAAACCCTAGAATGTAAGACATTTGACCCCAACATCAGTCTGAGCTCGGAGAGGCCAGGCATGGTTCAGATGCTGCCGGTTATGAGTCCAGTCTGATCAGTAGTTATATTTGAAAAAAAAAAATTCTTTTTTCTCTTTGGTTGTGGGCCTGGAGAGTTGGCTTAGCAGTTATGGGCACTTGTTGCTCTTACAGAGGACTGGGGTTCAATTCCTAGCACCCACTGGCAGTTCACAGTCATCTGTAACTCCAGTCCCAGAGGATCTGACGCCCCATCTGACCACTGGGGACACCAGGCACACATGTGATACACATGCATACATGTAAGCAAAATATTCATGCACATAAATCTCCAAAAATAGTTTAGAAGATGGCTCCCACTGTGTAACTCAAATTGGCTCCACACTCATAGCCTCCTGCCTCAGTCTCCTGAGTGCTGAGATTGTAAGTATACGCCATCATATCCAGCCAGCATCTCAGATGTTTTTAAAACCTCACTGGAAGGTTGTGTGCGCCAGCTCTCTGTAACTGTAACAAAGTACCTAAGACAACCAACTGGAGAAGAGAGGAGGGGTTCTGACTCGTGGTCATGAAGGTTTATGTCAACGTTGGTTGGCTCCATGGTTTGAAAGGTCGGGTGAGGTAGCACACCATAGAAGGAGCATGAAATGGGGGATGCTTACCTCATAATACCAGTGAGTAAGAGAGAGGAAGAGATGGGTACCCCACAGTCCTCAGAGCAACCTAAGACCTCCGGAGGCTCTGCCTTTAAAGGCTCCGTGAGTTACAAAGCTACAAAGAAAGATACTTTGCAGTGTATACTTTGCAATACTTCCAGGTGCAAAGTATTACAGTGTCTGGCCCTTTTACTTGAAGAAGGAATTTACTATAACACCTGTCTGTATTGCTCGTGTGTGTGTGTGTGTGTGTGTGTGTGTGTGTGTGTGTGTGTGTGTGCGTGCGCACGCGCATGTGTTCACGTATGCATAGGGATGTGTGTGCAGGAGCATGTGTACAGCCCTGTAGGCCAGATGGCAACACCAGGTCTTTTCCTCACGGTTCTCCATCTTATTTTTTGAGACTGAGTCTCTCACTGAATGGGAACTCACTCATTCAGCAAGGCTCGCTGGCCAGCCAATGAGCTTGAGAGATCTGCCCACCCTGCTCCTTCCACCTCCCCGTGCTAGGGTTCCAGATGCACGCCACTATGCCATGCCTGGTTTTGCTGGGGGAGCTGGGGATCCGAACTCAAGTCCTTGTGTTGACACAGAAGGCAATATCCCACCTGAGCCGTCTGTCCAGCCCATCGATGCTTTTCTCATATATGAAAATTCCTCCTCTACCCTACTCTCTTGGATAGAGAAATTCGACTTCACTATATGTCTACATGTAAACACATGTCTGGTTGGTAACTGCTTACATATGATGACTTCACATTACCTGAGAGTTCACAACACATCTTACGGCCTTGGTTGAAAACAGAAAAGTGAAAAATTCCAAGGCCGGAGAAGACAACAGTATGCCATCTAACAAACTCTGGGAAATGAGGTTGGAATGTTCTCCCTGCTTGATTACCCGCCTTCATCCTTTTCCAAGGCTCTGCCCCCAGATTCTGAAGTCCTCTTATCAGCTCTCATAAACACAGCAGGAGGAAGTAGGCATTTCTGAGCCCTCAATCCGATACCCACCTCCCTAGGTCTGCTGGCTTCCTACTCCAACTCACTCTCCACAGGGGTTTAAAAGTCACTGGCACTTCCATCAGCACCAACAAGGCCTTGGTCTGGGCCCTCAGTCTTCTGTTCTCATTGGGAGCGGAGAGGCCTTGCGACTCGCAGCTTGGAGACCATTGTGACATTAGGTAGTCATCCCCCAGCAGCTGGGTCCGGCCGGCACCACTGTACTGCTCAGCTCACCAAGTGATGAGACAGGCTAGTGATGGCTTGGCTCAGCACTCACATCTTCTTGCCTTTGTGCTTGGCAAGTCCCCTCAGATGCTGATCAACACACAGAGAGAGAGAGAGAGAGAGAGAGAGAGAGGAGGAGGGAGGAGAGAGAGAGAGAGAGAGAGAGAGAGAGAGAGAGAGAGAGAGAGAGAGAGAGAGAGAACAGAAAAATTAAGTTGCATGGCAGAAAAAAAGCTGCCACCATCCACAAACCTTGGTCAATGACTCCCTGGCTAGGGGTAATCAGAGGTCCCTGCAAGCCCAGGGGTGACCACTCGTCCCAACACATCCCCAGCACTGGGACAGCATCAGACATCCTCATCAGGAGCTACCTCTCTATCTTTGCCTCTCTGCTTCTAGCTTCTTTTGGGAAACTCTGATTGGATCTTAATGAACTGAAAACACAATGCCTTAAATACAGCTACATACCCGTTCCCTCGGGTATGCTTTGAACAATCCGCTGGACCATTTAAAATGTTGTCACTGTTCCGTTAAGTTCATTTTTTTTAAGAGTTTTATTTGATAATTATGTGTCTGAGGAGGTGGCACATACGAGTGCAGGTGTCCTCAGAAGCCACAGGCGTCAGGTTCCCTAAGCTACAGTTACAAGCAAGTTATTCCGTGGGACCTCCATGATGGGAACCAAACCCAGGTCCTCTGCAAGCCGTCTCTCTGGTCCGTATTCTGTTAAGAACCACTCAACAAGCAGTTCCAGAGCAGTTGCTGTCGCCGGGCTCTGTGGAGCTGGGAGTCCCTGGCTGACTCTGCCTGATGGAGTTCCCACACCAGCTGGAAAGGCAAACCTAGGTACCGAAGAGCCGTGCAAAGTGAAGGGCAGGAGGGTTGGAGCTAATCTAGAGAGCCGCCAGCTGCCGGCTGCCGCAGCCACTGCCGCCGCTGCCTCATCAAAAATAACAAAGAAAAGGAAGTGCAGGAAATGTGCCTGGAAAAAGAAAAGCTGCATGTTGACCACACACTATAGTGACCAAGTTCTTTCTCCCCACGTTCCAATGACACATCCATTCATTCTCACTGTGCAAGGTTGAAGCAGGAGCCGCTGGGTGCACGAAAAGTTTCCTGTAGATTAATACGGCGCTGGGAAGAGTTGATGGGCTTCGGCAGCGATTTGGGCTATTACTCCAAGCCAGTCATTCATTAACCCTCAGGAAGTTCTTCATGCCAAAGTCATTATTATTATTAGACGCTAAGCCCCAAACCCCAAATGGGTGTATGCTGCTTCTCTCTCCAGGATGCTCAGAGTATGAGTCAGCCGGGGGGGCCTGTGTCATTTCCTAAATTGCCTTCTGCTTCAAGGGGAATTTGGCTTTGGACAATGGGCCTGCTGCTCAGGGAACCTGGCAAAAAGCCCTTTCGAGAGGTAATGATCACTTTTGCTTTTTCTGTGAGGTCCTGAGTGCCTCCAGAGGCTACAGGCTCCCCCTCAAATTTCTGCTCTTCTATCCTGCAGAGGTACAGGCTGAGCATCCTTAATCTGAAATTTGAGACCCTCGAAAATTCAGAATTTCTACTTTGCTGGTTCATACACATTATTGAAAATATTGTATAAAAACTTCCCTCAGGCTATGCACAATAAGGCATATATGAAACATACATTATTTTGTATCTAGAATGTATCCCAGCCCCACCACCCAAGTTTTCTTTAGTATATGCAAATATTCCAAAATATGAAGAAATCCAAAATCTGAGACACTTTAGACAATGTGGATAGCATCTTACTGGATAAGGCTGGCTGGCTGAGGACTACATTTCCCAGAGTACTCTGCAGTAGGTCAACTCTTCAATAGGTATAGTTAGAAGTGATGAGAATGACATCATTACCTTTCCTTGAAAGAAATGGTGCTGTAATCACCCTTCACCCCATAGTCCAATGCAAACTTCTACTGCTGAAAGACGACAAGAACCGTCGGTCTCCTCAGACACAGTGAGGAAAGGGAAGCATTGCAGGCGGCCATGAACTGCCACCCTCTAGACTGTTACGTGGAAAGTGGCACCATCGGCGTACATCACATTCGGCAGCCTAAAACCACCCTCTGTTCTCTAAGAAGAGAAGCCATCACGAGATCAATGTCCCTTCTGTTTTCTGAGCTGGGTTCAGGTTTTTGTTGTTTGTTTTGACTTGCCACCTAAAGATCTCACTACACCGGGGAAGGTCTAAATGTAAGCAAGCATGCTTGCAAACTGACAGCAATGTTTAATTCCTTAGATCTCTCTCTCTCTCTCTCTCTCTCTCTCTCTCTCTCTCTCTCTCTCTCTCTCTCTCTCTCTGTGTGTGTGTGTGTGTGTGTGTGTGTGTGTGTGTGTGCGCGCGCGCGTGCGCGCGTGCACGCTTGCTCATGGGTGCACATGGGGAGGCTACAGGTTGACCTCACATGTCTCCCTCTGTCACCCTCCACCTCATTTTTAAGACGGGGTCTCTCACTGAACCTCTTTTTCAGCTAGGCGGGAGGACCAGCAAGTCTTTGCAATCTGCTTGTGTCTGCCCCACAACCTGGGGTTACAGCGCACACCACTGCACCCAGCTTTTATGTGGGTGCTGGGGAATCCGAACACAAATCCTCTTGCTGACACAGAAAGTACTCTACCCACTGAGCCGCCTTTCCTGTTCTGTCTAATATATATATATATAGATATAGATATATCTATATAGATATAGATATGTCTATATCTATATATATCCCAATATTTGCAGTTTTATAGGTTCTAAGAATTCTGGGTACTGTCCCCGGTCATTTTCAAGTAAAGCCACAAGGACAATGGTAAGGTCAAATATTTAGAGATGTTATCACCTTATGTGTATCTACAGCAATGTTTGCAAGTCTCCCACTAAGGCCTGCTCCTATTTTGCAGGATGAAAATTGCAGCTTCTGGTTTCATCACCAGCCCCTCCCCTAGGATGCCAAATACGCATACCTAAGCGCTTCTAAATTGCGTCTCCACATGAACTGCCATCTTTGTGTACAACAAAACTCAGCCTCTGATTGACAGGGGCCTTTTCTTTTTTTCTTATACAAGGTATTACTCAAAATGGATTTGCCTATTACTCCACAGGTTTCTAGAATCTGTATCAGGAGTTGAAGCACTTTCCATTTCTGTGCCTGGGCTCTGGTCTGAGGTGTCGACAGACCTGAGGGTATCTCCGTGAGCTGTCTTCAGAGCTCGGTAGTTCCAGCCCGACTTGGGGTTCGCCCCTGGCCCTTGTGAAGGATTCATCCCCATTCCTGCTATTTCGTAACTCAGTTCTACCCGGGAGACGTCCACAGCAACGTGGTGACTGGGAGCCAAGTGCAGCTCGTCCCGAGATAGGAAGGGGCTGAGGAAGGTGGCAGGGGCTGTGTGCCAACAGAAGCAGCCCTGAAGGGACACTCCTGAAGGGGAGGCAGGCATCATGGGAGCTGCCTCCCCCGGGCTATGGACGAACAGTTTGAGCTCAGCCTGGGCTGGATTGCAAGGCCCTGTCTAAAAAATAACAATAAAATCATCCTGATTTCTACAGAAGTCACAAGTATTTGGTGATCCCCAACAACCATTTGGATTCTTATATCCACCCATAGGCCTCTCATCCAGACCGCTGGTCAACACGCTACACAGGCTCCCATGGGCAGCAAGCTCCTGGTGTACAGTGCAGACACCAGCCTGGACTCAAGGGTCACCAAATGACCAAATGGGAGAAGCTGGAGCGTGGGGCAGCTTGGCCCACACAACACCCCAACTTCAGCAGAAAGCAGCCAGAATGAAGTCAGCGCCCACAACTCCTGGGCTAACCTCCCTCGAACCCTTGTCCCATGAAGTCTTTTTTTTATGTACATAAGCAAAAAGTCTGGAATGCTAGATCACAGATGTTGCTCCTGTACAAAGGGTCAGCCATATTCTCATCCTATCTAGTACATTTATCAATGGGTTAAACTCAAATACACTTCCCCTCTAGGCTTAGACATTGACCCCTCTAATGTCCACAAGTGGAAGAAATTTCCTTTGTTCTATGGTTGAAATTGGTTGGCTGTTCTATCCCAGACTCCCCCAGAATCACCAAAGGATGCTTCACTTGAAAATCATAAACGAATGGTGAATTATAACTGAACGAATGAGCCCTCACGCTTCTTCCATTCAGTTGGGCAGTCCACAGCCATTTATCTTGCATCTGCTCCACCCCCGGCGTTCATTCGGCAAGGGACTTACTGAGTGTCCACTGTGTACCTGGCAGACAGGACCGGCTACCTACATAGTACAGTAAATGCAAAGAGAGGGGCTTGTTCAACAGTCACCAGGAATTGAGGACAGGGACAGTAAAGCCTGTGACAGCAGTGTCCTGGGAATAAAGGAAACAATGGTAACAAACAACACTCATACCATTATAGATGACGAAGAGAAATGAAGAAATGATAGGTGACAAGCAATATCTGATTGTCCCTTGCCACCCTGGGAATTGCTTCCAGGATCCCCTTTGGATACCAAAATCTGCAGATGCTCAAGTTCCCTGTGTAGAACGGCATGGTGTTTGCACGTTAATCCTCCTGTGTCCCTTATAACATGTCTAGGTTACTTCTGGTGCCTCACGCAATCTAAATGCTATGCAAAGAGCTGTTACATTGAACAGGGAACCACAAGAGACAAACCCGTACTTGTTCAGTACAGACACATAATTTCCCCCCAAATGTTTTTAAATCATGGTTGACTAAATCTGCGGATTCGGAACCCATGGGTGCAGAGGACCCCCTGCAGGGTGTTATTTTTTTAATTTACATAAGAAGCACATATATGCACAAATCAGCACAAAACACGAAATGTAAGAATGATGGTACAATGCAGAAGTTGATGCAGAAACGGAGTGGGGGTGGAAGGGTGCCCTTGTTTGTATTTTAATTAGGATGGTGGGGAAGCTTGATTGACAACCAGAGAGAGACAGGAGCTAGCAAAGCAGCTGCCTGGGACGCTCGCTCAGCTGGAAGTGTGTTTTTAGTAACCAGGAGAATTAGGGTGTGGAACCTGAGCATGGTGAGCACGCTGAGCACGGTGAGCACGCTGAGC